TATATATATATATATATATATATAATTATTGTGATGGGGCCCTGCAGTAAGTCATAGCCCCGGGGCCCAGTGTAGTCTTAATGCGGCCCTGCTCACGCAACATTTGTTTCACAACTTGTTTAAGTTAGCATGTTGCTAAGCTAACCATGTGATACTGGATATGATAAAATACATAGCACACATAAATATATGGGTAAAATAGTCAGTTTTTAAATAGATTGAACTTTTTTAGTACTTTACACAATTTAATGACTTACTAATTTTATATTAAAGGGGTCATGAACTGCCTTTTTTAAATTTTGTACTGTTCTCTGAGGTCCACTTACAATGTTAAGATTTTTACTTAAAAAAAAAACTATTTAGAAGTAATAGGCTATTTTCTGTCCTGTTTTGACCCCCCTCATGGACCGCTCTGTTTGAATAGGTGTGGCGGGTTGTAGACTCAGAAGTAAACGCCCACTGCTATGATTGGCTAACAGGTGTGTATGTTTGACAGTCTAAATCGTACACTGATGGACGCTGCTGTGATATAGGTTAAAAACACATAAATACTCAGTACATATCAAACGATCTGTAATAACATACAAAGCAATAGTGACCACATAATAAAAACAGTTACTCACACTTGTGTGGTGTGACATTACTGTCAGATCCATGTCAGATCCAATGTAGTCGGCACAGCATCATCTTTTAGTTTCAACCTTTCTGAAAATCCTGCATCGAGTTGTGCCTTGTTTGTAAACGAATCCGCGCCGAAATGAAGGGTACAGAGGACCAAGTTCTTACTGACGTGTAGAAAGTAAAGTTCATCCACTCTTTCCTAATGTTGAGATCAGAAGGAAGACAATGCAAAGACTGTGTTTTTTCCACAACTTGGCACTGAACAGCTTCTTGTTTTCTTCGGAGCAAATTACATGCGCAAATCGGTGGGTTAAACAGGCAGGCTAAACAGGCAGTGATGTAGAAGCAGGCGTTGATCTTCTGCGGAGGCAGTGTTTAGCCACTGTATTGTGTAATACTGTGGCACATTCCACAACCTGTCGTTTTGGCAGATTGGTTTCAATTAAGCTGTTTTTAGGAGAAAGTACGAGAAACGAGAAAGGTTTGAGTTCTGAAACTTACAGGATGTTTTTATAATTCAATGACCTCTTATATGTCAAAAGATCAAGGGAATTTTGATTTCTCGGTTCATGACCCCTTTAATAATCAACATTTCTCTCACTTATCACTTCTTAGATTGATTTTTTTTCACTGAGACTGTCAAAATAGTTGTGTCCCAATTTGCATACAGTGGGTATAGAAAAGAATCACCCCCATTAAAATAATCAAATTTTGTTGCTTTGCAGCCTGAAATGAAGGTGGACACAGTTTTTGTTTTATCCAGCTCTATTTACTCAATGCAACTTATAACATCCAAGTGAAAGATATAACACCAACATGTCAGAAAAAAAACAAACAAAAAAAACAATCACTGACTTCTATGACTTGTTATAGGTTTCTATGACCTAAATATGACTTGTAAACTCAATCAGGTGTAGCTAATCTAGGGTGACCATTTTTATGGGACGCACCCTTGCCAGGATTTCTATATTGCCTAAAATATCCAGCTTTTGGCTGTTAGCACTGTGCAGATTGTTGTATGACATTATTTCACGAGAGCTATAGAGAGCAGAGCAGACGGCTCCTTATGCTTTCAAATTGCTCTCTCGGTACTTTGGTGTCATACAATGATCGGTGCACAGCTTTAAGTCGAACGAACGAACAAACACGTGCGCGTATTTGCATCGCTTTGATCATTCTCACCTTTTCATGCACGACGCGCCATGATTGGTCAATTATGTACAATACCTGCATGTTATTGGTCAAACTACTTTGGATGTTTTAGGCAATATAAAAATCATGGCCAGGACGTGTCCCGTATAAATATCACATATGGCCACCTTCTCAATGGCACACAAAGGCATTTGACACAGACCCTCCTTGGATCAGGATGTCGCTCCAAACTGGATGAAAGAGCCAGAAGGAATCTGGTGAGAGAGGCTACCAAGAGGCCTACAGCAACTTGCAGCAGCAAAAGAGTGGTCATTGTGTGCATGTGACACACAATATCACAAACTGTCCACAAATGTGGCTTGTATGGGAGGGTTGAAAGAAAAAAGCCACTCTTCAAGAAAGGCCACATGCAGTCACGACTGAGCTTTGCCAAAATGCACCTTGAAGATTCTGAGGCAGATGAGACAAAAACGTAATTATTTGGCCTCAACAACACCAAACGATGTCTGGCGGAAATCCAATACAGCTCACCATCCAAATAACACCATTGCTACAGTAAAGCATGGAGGGGGTAATATCCTGTTATGGGGGTGTTTCTCTGCAACAGGGACTGGAGCACTTGTTAGAATAGAAGGAAAAATGGATGGGGCAAAATAGCATCAAATTCTTGAGAAAGTTGTCAATGGGAAGAAGGTTTACCTTCCAACACGACAATGACCCAAAGCACACAGCAAAATTGACCACACAGGGAGAAAAAGGATAAAAAGTTGAATGTCCTTGCATGGCCTAGTAAGATCTCAGATTTAAACCTCATTGAAAATCTGTGGAATGGCTTGAAGACGGCAGTCCACAAACGAACACCATCAAGTTTAACTGAACTTGAGCAGTTCTGCAAAGAAGAGTGGACAAATATTGCAAAGTCTAGATGTGCAAAGTTAATAGAGACATATCCCAACAGACTAAAGGCTGTAATTAAAGCAAAAGGTGGTTCAACAAAATACTGACACAAGGGGGTGATCGTTTTTTTCCAACTCAACAGTGATTCTGTATTTTATTTTTTTATGGCATGTTGGTGTTATATCTTTCACTTGGATGTTTTAAGATGCCTTGAGTAAATACAGCTGGATAAAACAAAAACTGTGTCCGTCTTCATTTCAGGCTGCAAAGCAACAAAATGTGATTATTTTAAGGGGGGGGGTGCTTCTTTTCTATACCCACTGTACTAATGCACTATTCTATGGCATTTTGTAGTATAAATAGTGTGTTTATGCTGCAAATTCCAAAAAGAAAAAGTGCCTTGATGATGAAGATAACTTGATGATGCACTTAATTAACAAAAAAACTAAGTGTGAAATGTTGAGCACTTTATACACTCAACTGTCACAGCTTTCCTTATGTAGCAAAAGGAATAGCATAGTACGCCATTTGGGACACCACAATTGTGTTTTTGGATTGTCTTCTCTGAAAAATAGAAATGCAATGCTGCCAGTTTTTGGCCAAAAGAAGGTGTCTTAAATGGTAGCTTAAAAAGTAGTAGACTACTTTTTAAAATAGTGTTTGTGTCAAGAGTGTGCCTATGTTCCCTTAAAATGCTGCCTATTCGGCAGGGTTTGAAAGAGAGCCATGCACACACTTACAGACATACTTTTCTCAGAATTGCTGTACTGGTTCTAGAACAAAAGGCATAAAGGAAGTAAAGAGGTATAAAGCAGTAGGGTACAAGAGCAGGGACATCCTGTAAAACTGTACCATAGTGTCCACTTTTGCCCTTTCACTCACTTCCTGCTGTTCTCTAAACAAAACAAAGGCAAAACTAAATAATAAGAAGAAAAATGCTTTAGAGCTGCTTGAGAACATCTGGTTAGTTTAAAAAAAATCAACTACTTTCAACTTCATCCAATCAGAACATTTTGAACGTGATACAGTCCCCCTTCCTTAAGAGCCTTAAAAGCACACAATGAATGCTGGATCAGCTCTGTTACCCTACAAACTGGACAAACAGCTTGTACTGGTTTACAAGCCAAAAGTTAAATAGATAATTCTGACTCTGATTCATAAAAGGACAAAAGTTATGAACAGTTTTTTTTTGCTGTAAAGTTGCTTTGCAATGATTTGTATCGTGAAAAGCGCTGTACAAATAAAATTGAATTTAATTGAATTTTAAACCATAATGTTGAATAAAGAAGAAGAAGCACATGCCTATTTTGCAGAAGTCCATACTAGTGACAGTAGTAGTGATTCTGCCAATTGTCAGTTCCCGAATCTGCTGACACCCTTGTTAATGCATAGTGTACGTTTTATATTTTGAGTAAATAATATTTTTCTTTTACATGCACATGTTATTCGTTATCATTACATTGTATGAAATATTTAACTTCAAGAGATAGTGATCTATAGTTTTTTGTATGACCCAAACTGATTATTTTACTGATCATCACAACGATGAATAAAAAAGTAATTAGACTGCAACAGTTAAACATAATGACTAGATGAATATTTTTGAATAACAACAACATTATTGTGTACAAACTAAGATCAATATTTAAAATATTAAAATTGACATTCGTTATGAGATTAAATTAAATTAGCGGCCATTAAAAAAACTTATCATATAGCCTCCAGTATATATGTATGGGCTATATACTATATATTCATTTATATATGTTTTTGATTGTCCCAGCGTAAAGGACCTATTTTCTATTTCATAGGACTGATTAGTGTGTGTGTGTGTGTGTGTGTGCGTGAGAGAGAGAGAGAGAGAAGCAGAGTGCAAGATTTCAGTTCCATTCAGCATTATCCAATCAAGAGCATGCTTGACCATAGATACATCCGTTTAAAAACCCCTATGAAAAATATATTTAAAGGAACAACTGAACACTCACCGACAATAATGCCACAAGCACTGACGAGACCAATCTCCTTCTTCAACGCCACTGATTGTCCAGCGGCTTTCCCTGTGTCTGCTGCTCCATCCTCGCTGGTGCTCGGGGCTGCGCTCCCTCTTTGTCTCGGTCCATCCGTCATGTTGGTAATTGAGATGTTCAGTCCTCGATATTGAGCGGTGATGCTAGAGCCGTGCTTGACGTGTGCCGCTGGTCAGATCTCAGATAGCGACTGGAATGTATACATAAACAGCCCGAAAACTATCTCGAACAAAATATGCCACTATGTGCCCTTTATCTTTCCTTTCTTATCAAGCGAGGCTGTTCTGAAGCATGTCAGTATATATTGTGTGTAGTGGCAGAGTAAGATGGGCGATTGCCGTGAAAGGCTATATAAAATACGATTAAAATAAGGCACTGTCAATGTTATTGAATGTGTCCTTTCAGTGCGTTAAAAATCCATATACAGCACTACGGTAATACTCCAGTCGCAACTTTTTATGTGTCCGTTTGTTGCAGTCTTTGAAGGATATCCACGTTTTAATCTGCCGTTTAAGTTAAACCAAAACGCCGAGCTAGAAAGGCCGAAAACCTATTCACACATTTCTCCTTCTTCCTGTAACTTACCTATTAAATACCGGATGCTTCCTCGTTCTTAAGGCAAGGCGTGCACCGTTTTGTCAAGGACTCTGGCCAAAAGCCTTTGGGTAGTTCAGTGTTCGCGCTGTGTCTCCAGAGATATCCAAAGGACCAGTGGTCCAAGCGCCTCCACAGTCTGTAGTATTTACTCCTAATGTCAGCCCCCTCCTTCAGTCACATTTCCTGCCTTCGCTTCCACCTCACTTCGCGTTTTCTCTACCACTGACCTGATTTCTTTACCGCTGACAGAAGAGAACGTGAAGAACACCAATTTGACATAGGCATGGCAGATGCATTTTTGTTTAAAATTCTTGTTTTGTTTATGTTTTTAAACATTAACTGACAGTCACCACTGATAAGCTACCACTAAATATTGTAGAAACTTAATTTGCTGTAAAGTTGCTTTGCAATGATTTGTATCGTGAAAAGCGCTGTACAAATAAAATTGAATTTAATTGAATTTTAAACCATAATGTTGAATAAAGAAGAAGAAGCACATGCCTATTTTGCAGAAGTCCATACTAGTGACAGTAGTAGTGATTCTGCCAATTGTCAGTTCCCGAATCTGCTGACACCCTTGTTAATGCATAGTGTACGTTTTATATTTTGAGTAAATAATATTTTTCTTTTACATGCACATGTTATTCGTTATCATTACATTGTATGAAATATTTAACTTCAAGAGATAGTGATCTATAGTTTTTTGTATGACCCAAACTGATTATTTTACTGATCATCACAACGATGAATAAAAAAGTAATTAGACTGCAACAGTTAAACATAATGACTAGATGAATATTTTTGAATAACAACAACATTATTGTGTACAAACTAAGATCAATATTTAAAATATTAAAATTGACATTCGTTATGAGATTAAATTAAATTAGCGGCCATTAAAAAAACTTATCATATAGCCTCCAGTATATATGTATGGGCTATATACTATATATTCATTTATATATGTTTTTGATTGTCCCAGCGTAAAGGACCTATTTTCTATTTCATAGGACTGATTAGTGTGTGTGTGTGTGTGTGTGTGTGTGCGTGAGAGAGAGAGAGAGAGAAGCAGAGTGCAAGATTTCAGTTCCATTCAGCATTATCCAATCAAGAGCATGCTTGACCATAGATACATCCGTTTAAAACCCCTATGAAAAATATATTTAAAGGAACAACTGAACACTCACCGACAATAATGCCACAAGCACTGACGAGACCAATCTCCTTCTTCAACGCCACTGATTGTCCAGCGGCTTTCCCTGTGTCTGCTGCTCCATCCTCGCTGGTGCTCGGGGCTGCGCTCCCTCTTTGTCTCGGTCCATCCGTCATGTTGGTAATTGAGATTTTTTTTTTTTTTTATTGAGCGGTGATGCTAGAGCCGTGCTTGACGTGTGCCGCTGGTCAGATCTCAGATAGCGACTGGAATGTATACATAAACAGCCCGAAAACTATCTCGAACAAAATATGCCACTATGTGCCCTTTATCTTTCCTTTCTTATCAAGCGAGGCTGTTCTGA